CCGGCGAGGTGGGAATGCCGCCAGAGAGCTGCCCCTCCTTATACAGGGCACTGCTGACAGTACCCCAAATAAAAATGCCTCCCCCGTCCCTTTCCCCTCCTCCTTTTCATCCCTCTCCTTCCCTTCCTCACTGTCCCCCTGTTTTTCTACCCTTCCTTTTCCACCCTCCCCCTTCCTTTCCCCTCTATATTTTTCTGTGATAAATTTCATTTAAGATGGTTATAGATGGAAAGCTGCGGCTGAGTGTTTTGTCCTGTTCTCTCTGCAGAAGTTCCAAAACATTTTGGACGACGACAGGCATGTTCCCACAGGAACTGATTATTGGTTTTCCCAAATGTGTAAAAATCAGCAAAGTTGCCATCCAGTGTTATTTGGGTAAGACTTTGTGTCTTGCAGTAGGTAATATGTGCTATGTTAAAATGTGTGTCTGTGCCTTAATAAAAGTTCCCACAGTAGTGTCCTTGTCTGTATGTAGCCACTTTTAAGAGATTCATAAACATTTAACTTCACATAAAGGTCTAATTTTGCATAACGATTCATTTTCACAGAGCAATCATCCTTCATATCCACAATCCCCATAGCTTAGAGAAAAAATAAATTAGTTAGTGCTCTGAAAGTGTCTTGTGGTTGTAAAGTGATGGAATAAATATCAGTATCAATAAAGACTCAGAACTTGTGTTGATATTTTGAATTGATATATATTTTAGTGCGGACCTTAAGGATTGAAAGAAGCACATCTAAAGACCCTGTTGGTTTTGAACAGTGTGTTGAAAAAGGTAAGACTGAGTTTGTGGGGTTTTGTGGGAGCAATGTTGGTGTTTTTCAGCGAATCCCTGTAACCCCTTATCTATTTATTGAGTAAAGTGTGGGGTGATGATTGTTTTATTAGACATTAATGCAGCAGTCACGTTTGAGTGAATTTTGTTAACACTGCTGGTCTCTGGAGCAGTTTGGAGAGTAAAATGCTGTATAAGGGCTAAAAGCACTACTTGTGCACTTTATGTTCCAAAAATTAAAAACAGGCTTACATAGTATAATAGAGTGCCATTTCCTGCATTGTTTGGCTTGGGGATTGGCTTTTTTTAGTGCCTCTTGGGTGACTTTTTTTAACACTGTAATGAGGGGGATATATATACACACACACTGGGATATTGCAAAAAAGTATTCTCTTAAATCACCTGTAAAAATAAAAAAGAACAGTGTCTATATGCAGTGTAAATTCATTGTCCTTAAACTCACTTGAACTCTACTCTGAGTCCAGTGAAAACTTCACTGCATTGTACATTATTCTTCATTATTTACCTTAAAATATATTTTTTAGATTTGCAGCACAGAGAAGGGCAGCTCCAAATGGAAGAATTTCCAGTGAGTATTTACAGTGCACATCAGTAGTGTTCATGAAAAGGGATGTCTGGACTAAGTGGGGAGAAACCATAAAAAAACAAACATGTCTTTATTTACAATTATTGCTCAGCTGGTGTTAAAGAGAAGAATTTGTAGATTTTGGTGTGAAATTGCACTTCCCAGCTGCTCCTCTGTAGATTGTGCTGTGAAATTGCACCTGCCTAGTGCTCCTAACGAGGTGCAAGGGCCCTTTCCAGAAGTGTGGCAATCTTCCCTCCTTCACTTGCTGCCTTTAAGGCTGCAGAATTCAGGAGATGATGGGATTTTTTTGAGTTGCAGGTCAAAGAACTCGATTTATGTGCAGTTCAAAAAACGGACACTGAAAGATCCAGATCCTTGTGGTTTAACAAACTTCTGCAAATGTGGTTGGGGAGTTTTGTTACTACAGAGAATGCAATAACATTATTTTTATTCTCCTGCAGCTTCCTGAGTTCCAAGCCACTTACTTGCGTTTCATCATCAAATCTGCCTTTGATCATTTTGTGTCAGTGCACCGGGTGATGGCAGAGGGCACAGCAGAGAACACTTGAGCCCAGCTTAAATTTGGGCCTCCACTTTTATTTTTTTATAAGGAAGTTACATTTTGATAGCTGCACTGCAGAGAATGTTTATTATTAGCACCCTGTATTAAAGTGGTTTTTGAAGGTAAATGGATGTGATATGTATTCCCTGCTGGTTTAATGTATGGAATAGAATAGGAGAATATGGAATCATTTAGGTTGGAAAAGACTTTTAGGATGATCAAGTCCAACCACAACACAGTGCAGTTGTTAATTGTAGTAACAGCTTTTTCATTTTGTTACCTAAACTGTCAGCCTAGGACACCTGAACATAACTGAGTCCATTTAAGGTAGTATATTTATGTCAGGCTTACATAATACATTAATTAAAACTCAATTTCCTATAAAATGTTTCCCTTGCACTCTGAATTAAATAGAAAAAAAAAGTGTGAGCTACTTAAGTGGGATGTATTACTTCCTACTGTCAAACAAGTCCTTCAAAAGTCCTTAAATTGGTATGTTTCTGCTCAGCTCAAACTCAGAGATTATTAGAATGAATATAAATACCTGCTAATGCTTAGAAATAACCTGGGGGAGAGAGGCAGGGCAGGAAGGGAAATAATCTGAAGTCAAATGAAGTGTTTTGATAGACTTTTAATAATTGTAGATCAACCCCTTGTTTCTATAAATATTTTCTAGAATCAGGTCACAGCCGCCAGTGCTTTAAGCTGGGACCATCATAACAAATATTCATGGAAACAGATGTTGATTGAGATTGTCTTGCTCAGAAGCCTCCTGAAGTCACTGAACGGGAACATTTCATATACACAAGTGCAATGTGTATATTAATGTGAAATCAGTTGCTTTGCATGCTGGTGGACTCTTGCAAATGTCACCACCCTGAAGTTCATCCTGCAGGAAATTCCTTACAAGTGTAAGTGTTGGTATCCAGAGCTCAATGGACCCAGCTCCCACATTACTGCATGTGGGATAAGAGTAGTAAGTTACTATTCTTGAACTTCTTTATCCAAATAGTTTTGGCTTCGAAGTCCTCTTCCTTTTCTATTTCAGTTTTTCCAGGATGGCACGTATTTCCTGGGGGTGGTAATTCCAAGGCCCCACTCCTCCCTGCAAGGGCAATAAAATGACACAGTGATGCTCAAGCAGAGCAGAAATCCTTCAGAGCACAGCAGCTGCACCAGAACTGTGGGCAGGTGTGGCTTGGGCTCCCTTTCCACTGGAGCCATCCCTGGGAGATGGTTACACACTGGTTACACCCTGCTGTGTCACTCAGTCTGGATCCTGGAGGTGGGAAGTGTTCCTGGATTTCACAGCTTAGATGTACCTCAGGTTACTAGTGAGCCAAAAGATAAATATTTGAGCAAGACTGAGGTGTACATCAAATATGTACATTATAAAGGCCCAGACTGGTTTTGCTGCATTTTCATTTCTCTCCACATTTACAGTGCATTGTGAAATGTTTCGCTCTCAAACAGAACAAAATACTGTTACATGTAAAGTAGTCTCAAGTCACCTTGAAATTTAAAATTCTCTGTACACTGTGCTGATGTTTTTTACCTTGTAGATGACCTTCCCTCCCTGCAGCATGTAGAGTCGCTCTGGCAGTGCAGCGTATTTAGAGCTGCTCAGGTTCTCCATAGTGTCCAAAACCACTGGACACAGAGGGTGATTTTTCTGAAGAAGTTGTGCTGCAATTTTTCGATCTTCAAGGCTTCTGTGATTTTTAATAATGACATTGTTTTTAAAAGCCCATCCATCTAAAACAAATGAGGAAGGGATTTAGCAGTGAAGGTTTTGAATAGATGCAAAGCTGGACATGTACTGTGTGTCATACCCCAAAACTGGGTTAAAAGAATCTTACAGTTTATTCCTAACATCAAAACTTTTCATGAAATGAAAGCCCTTCTTAAGTTATCGCAGCACTAGAGCTTTCTATTAAGTGGCCCCAAGATCTGGGTTTTTTTTCCCTCATCAAACTGTATTTTCTTGCCCTGGATTCAGAAATATTTGATGGATTTTAGCTGAAATTTTCCCACATAGATCTACCCTACAAAGACACCAGGTGGGGAACATGTATTAGGTAAGGTTTGTCAGTGTTGTTCATTTTGCTTGATTGTACTCATTAAGCCTATAAACCAAAATTACAGGTCTGTGAGAAGTGAAATGTGAGCCAGGCCATGCCTTTGTTTATCAGAACTATGCAAACAAACACTTGCACACAACTCTTCCCAATAAAGCAGAAACTAGTGAAAGGGTTTGATGACTGACTTAGTCATTATCTGAGTTGCTGAAAATGACACTTTGCTAGAAAACTATAAATGTTAGGTTTTAGAAAAACATTTAATCCTGGGGTAAAACCAGTGCCATTGTGTTACTTAGAATCCAGTGCAGATAAACAAGTGTGGTTTGTTTGCTTGCTAAATTTTTCAAATTGGAGTCTGCATCCTGTTCTTGGAAAATATTAAAAACTTTTTTTTTTCTGTCAACACATATTGTACACTTAACTTTTGTTTTGTGAATTATCTTTTCTTCCTCTTTCCAAAAAGAGTTGTATAACATTGAGAGGCAATTGTTAAAACATGTGTCCTTTGCATGAGTGTAAGGTCAGAAGTGTAAGTAGAATTTCAAGAGAATTAGGGACACAAAGTGGTGCCTAGATGTTGTGTTGCCACTTGATTTGAAGATTTTTGTGCTGATTGCATCCCCCTCCTTTGCTACCACACTTTTTTTTTCCCCTAAAGGAAGTGACAGGTTTGTAGCTGTGGTGTTTGTACTGTACCTACTGCATGAGCTTCCTCAATGTAGATGATAAGGAAATCTGCTATTGAGCTGAAATCTTTGATAAGCTGGTTGAACTCATCAAATTTCAGCATAAATGAAGGTCAGGTGCAGCTTCCAAAGTTCAGGATTAAAGGTCGGTTATCTGGGAAATAAAAAAAAAGAAGTTCTGCGGTTAAGGAGGAAGGACAATTAAATACACTAAACTGAACCTCTGGTGCAGGGATTCCTGGATAGCACTAAGTCACTTCATAAACTTCTCCTAGATCAGTAAAATCAGCAGCAGAACCTCTTTATCTCTGCAAAGCAGCCATAAAGGTGTTTTTCCTAGCCTGGCCCTGTCTGTGCTGCATCCAGGAAGGAGTTTACCTGAGGGAGCCCTGCCCAGTACAGGCAGGAGGCACCCTGCAGTCACACAGCTTCTCTTTCCCTCAGCACAAGAGCCAATTAGCAAGCTACCAACATTTTTGGAATAGGGTGCTGATCCAAAATGGGCATCTCAGCCTCCCTGAGATCCTTAGTATGGAGCAACTTCAAAAATACTAACCATGGCCTTCTGTAAGGTTATCCAGGGACAGTGGTTCAGGGCTGGGCATTGAGGACAGAGTCCCAGTGCCTTTTCATGTCCAGATTTTTTTAGATGTGTCAGTTCAAGTTGAGGGGAAACTGCAGACTTTTCAGTCATGCATCACAGGCTTTCAATGTATTTCTGCAATTTCCTGTCCAAACAGAACTCTGGTTATATATTATTATTAAACTAACCTTACACTGGCAAAAGTATCTGCAGTTGCTTACAAATTAACACAGTGTTGTGTTTATGTTGGCATCTGTTTGCAAGGCCTTGATTTAAGAGAGCTTGCAGGATTTTTAAGCACCTCTTTTAGTCTGGTTATGCTGAATTCCATTAAATTTGTCCACGACCTTTCTAGCATGGCTTAACTTAAAAGCTGCTGCTAACCATAGATCCACATCCTAAAGAATTAAATAACAGTGGTACCTTCCTGTAGATACTGTATTTCTCTTCTATAAATTTGCAGCCCATTTTCTACATAAATATCTATATATAATTAGGGATGCAGAGTGAGAGAAGGATGTAATCCCTCCCGTGGGGATGGAGGCTGCAGCTTAATGATTAATTCCACGTTCTGCTGAGATCTCAGTGGGAGGCAGTGGACAAAGTACAAAGCAGCTACTTCTGCTTTATTCCCAGCCACTTTAGATCTGGAAAAACCCACTGTGTGCTTTCTAGGCTTTAGGCTAGCTGAGGGAACTGGTGTGGAATTTTCTGTACGGACAGGGAATGACAGCCAACACTCAGGAATCATTGCACGTGTTTCAGTTCTGGGCCTTCTCTCCCTGAAACAAATTATTACCTTGGTTTTCAGCAAAAAGTGTTTCCAGGCAGAGCCAGCTCTTGCAAAAGCTCAGTGGTGTGAAGGGATAGCATAGACAGGGTGATAAATGCAGGTTATTTTTGACAATCAAGAAGCAGCTGGAGTAAATGTGCGGCATCTTCTCCAGCAGGTGGATGCTGGTGGTCTGCACATGATGCACTCCAGTGCCAGCTGCCCGTCCCTGCTCCCTCAGCAGCATCTCCTCATTTATGCTCTCAGCAATTACTGAAATTACCAACTCAATTACTGACCTTTCATGAAATCCAGGAGGTGACAAACTTCCCCTCCGAGGGTCACCACGGGCGTGTTGGGAGCAGGGTGTCCCTCGTAGGCTTCATCCTCCAGCCTCTTCCACTTCACCTTCAGCACAAACTGCAAATACTTGAAGCTGAAAAAAGTGGGGCCCCAGTTTTCATAGCTGAACTTCGGATTCCTGTTCATTCTGCTCTTTTCGCCCATCTTCAGGATGTATCTTTTCATGGCATTGGGGAACAGTATCATCAGTGTTTTGCCCACCACAACAGACAGAGTAACCTGCAGAAGGATCAGGATTTTCTGCAGCAGTACCCTGATGCCCGACATGGTGGTGGAGAGGTCTGCTGAGCACAATGCGAGGCAGGGGCAAAGGTAGAGGTAGAGGGTGAGGGGGAGGGAAAACATCCACGTGTTTTATTGAGTTTTTGCCTTACCTTGCACACTGTGCTGCCCCTGCCCTTCAGCCCCTGGGTGAGCAAGGATCCTGTCAGCATTGCTCCCTCCGGCTGCACCAAGGGCATCCAGTGCAGCCAGGGTGGGGCTGTGCTGCTCACTGCAGGGATGTGAGGCTTATCCACAGATGTGGGCTGTGCTGTACAAATGAGGGCAGCTGGACCAGGCTGTTCTCCCTGAATCCCACAATATAGACTAAGGTGCTGATGCTTGAGGCCTTGGGGTGATGCAGATGCTGTGCAAACAGTGCCCTGTTCCGACTGCTCTGGGGCTCTGTTGCGTTCCAGGATTTGGCATTTTGGGGCTGAAGGACTAAAAAAAAAAACCTAAAAAAAGTATATATATTTATATATATGTTTATATATAATGTTATATATTAATATATATGCTCCAGTATATATAATGTCCAGCTAGTCCCCAGCACAGGAAGGACATGGATCTCTTGGAGCGAGGCCTCAAGAGGATACCAAGATCAGAGATCAGAGGGATGTTGTGAGAGTTGGGACTGTTCAGCCTGGAGAAGAGAAGGCTTTGTGGTGACCTGACTTTGGCCTTCCAGCACCTGAAGGGAGACAAGACAAATGGAGAGAGGCCATTGAGAAGGGCGGCAGTGACAGGACAAGGGGGAATGGCTGCAAATCATCAGAGGGCAGGTTTAGAGTAGGTACGAAGAAATTCTCTCCTGTGCGGGTGGTGAGACCCTGGCACAAGGTGCCCAGAGAAGTTGTGGCTGCACCATCCCTGGGAGTGTCCCAGGCCAGGCTGGACGGGCTGGGAGCAACCCGTTCTGGTGGGAGGTGTCCGTGCCATGGCAAAGAGCTAAAATGAGAGGAGCTTTAATGTTCCTTCCAACCCGAACCGTTCTGTGTTTCTCTGATAAAACTCTCATTTACCAGAACACGCAGTGTACGTCTGTAACAGCTGTACAAGGGCACAATCATCCACAGCCCCGCTATGTTCTCTCCCAGACGGCAGCCGCCACCGCGCTCGGGCTGCCGCGGGCCCTTTAAGGGGGCGGGCGGGCACGCACGCGGAAGCGCCGCGCGGGTTCTGATTGGTCAGTGCTAGTTGCGTCACCGGGGGCTGTTGCTCCCAGAGGGGCGGGGGCAGAGGGGCTCAGCGGCGCCGCTGATTGGCCGGGGTCGCGCGGCGGTGGCGGCGCCTTTAAGGGAGCGGAGCGGCGGCTGCGGCGGTGCCGAGGTGTGTGGGGTGCCCGGCCCGGGGCCCGGGCGGGTGCGGGGCTCGGGGGGCGCAGCCGCGGGGCACAGCAGCGCTGACACAGGGCTGGGACCTCACCCGCCCCAGCCCCAGCGCCACCCTGTCCTCTTGCAGGAGGGTCGAGCCCCGGGGAGCTGATCCTCGTCCCGGCGGATGAATGGCGACGGCGGACGACCTCAAATTCCAAGGTAAAGGCGATGTGGCAGGTGCGGACGCGGGGCTGGGCCCGGCTGGGGGAGCCGCCAGGAGCTGGAGGCTCTGGGAGCGTCCCTGAGCATTCGCGGAATAAAAACGTCCTGGGAGTGTTGTTTGTGCGATCAGGATGGGGTCAGGGATCCTGAGTTTTCTGAGATGGAATTGTGCTGCTGGCTAGATAAAAAATGTAACCGGTGTTGACGGAAGTCGTGGACTGAAATCCTTTGCGGTAGCGACAGCTGGAAGGGGGCAGAGCACTCTGTAACTTGCAGAAGGCCCCGGTTTCAGACTTCTTTAGTTCTTCATTAAAAATTTCATGTCAGTTTTTGGAGAATATTAAAAGTACCCGTTTCTGTAGGAGGCAGCTCTCCCTTGCCCTGCAGAGACCTGCTGGCCCTGGGCCGGGGCTGTTGGCAGGGCAGGAAGGCAGGCTCCAGTCCTGCCAGTGTCACATCCTGCAGGCAGACTGGCAGGAAAAGCAAACTCACACTTTATCCACTGACTAAATGTTCAGCTTGACCCGTGTCAGTTTGGACTTTAGGAAATAGATCATACCCAACGTGCCTAAACTAGTGGTTAGTCTGTCTCAGGGTTTTTATGCGTTTATTTGAGCCACGAGAACAAAAATTTTAGTGTCTTGATCATCACCTGTCTTGTAATGTACTTATTTGCAGAGTTTGACGATGCAGCTAATTTGCTTGCAGCAAATCCTGATGCCACCACCATAAGCATCGACGAGCCAGTCGAAATCCCCAAGAATCAGCAGAGCCACCTGCAGGAGCCAGGGAGGGAAGAGGATGATGAGTTATTGGGCACTGATGACTCCGATAAAACAGAGGTAATGCTCTCACCGCTGTGGTGGAGGCCTGTGAGAAAGATGGAGAGAGACTCCTTCTTACAAGAGCATGTAGAGAACAGGACAAGGGGGATGGATTGAGACTAAAAGAGAAGATGTTTAGATTGGTTATGGGAAGAAGTTCTCTCCTGTGAGGGTGGTGAGGTGTTGGCACAAGTTGCCTAGAGAAGCTGTGCGTGTCCCACCCATGGAAGTGTTTAAGGCCAGTCTTGGAGCAACCTGGGATTGTGGAAGGTGTCCCTGCCCATGGCAGGGGGATGGAGTGAGATGATCTTTAAGGTCCCTTCAATCACAGGCCGTTCTGTGGTTCTGACAGCAGAAGGAACTTGTCGTGGTGTGAGGGTGTGTGTTCCAGATGATGTGGCAGCAGGCAGTAGCAGGCTGCTCTTTACAGCCTCAGGCCGTGGTTCTGCCTGCAGGGAGATAAGAGACTGGCTGTCTGCAGCTGTTGGAGGGGAAGAGGGAAACCATTACATAATCCTGCCCTGTTGTGTTTGTTTTCAGTTTGGGTAACAAAATCATGTGACTACTGTCTAAATGAGTTAGTAATGCATAAATTGTGTGCTTGTAACGCTTTCCATGTTGCCTTTCCCACCATCCAGCTGCTTGCAGGACAGAAGAAAAGTGCCCCTTTCTGGACTTTTGAGTACTACCAGACCTTCTTCGATGTGGACACATACCAGGTTAATACTCTGCTCCAGAGGAGAACTGTTGTCTGAATTATGCCTTATCCACTGAGGTTTTTTTTCCTTCTTGCACTGTCAGTCAGACAAATCCTTATGTTTCTTAGGTCCTGGACAGAATCAAAGGATCAGTGTTCCCAGTCCCTGGGAAGAACTTTGTAAGGCTGTATATCCGCAGCAATCCCGACCTTTATGGTAGGTGTGAGGTGGGAGGAGTTACTTCTGTGCTAAATATTTTGAGTCTGTATTACATTTTACTTGCTGGTCTAGAAAGCAAGACAGCAGAGGAGGTGCTATTGATTTTTTTATTTTTTTTTTCCTTTTAAGGTCCATTTTGGATATGTGCTACACTCGTGTTCACCATTGCTGTTAGTGGCAATCTCTCAAATTTCTTCATCCATCTGGGCAAACCAACGTACCACTACGTGCCTGAGTTTAGAAAAGGTTTGTAAGTAGTCATTTGTGGGGTTAGTTTTTTTGGTGGGTGTCTTTTTGTTTTGTTTTTTGGTGTATTTTTTTTAACGTGCAAATGAAGTAATATCAAACCAGGTCATGGCTTTGATTTAACACTTTTGTCTTTTGATTGATTGGTGTTTTTAAATTTTTAGACATGTGAAAGAAGCCTTTAAAATGGGCTGTGACTGGCAGAACCCTGTTTCTTCAGAACATAGGCTAGTTTCAGGGATTTAGAAGAGCAAGCAGGAGTAATTAGTTATTTTCCAGCCTTAGTGGATGTCTCCTTGTACAGAGAGTGAAAGCCCAGCACTGGGCACTCTGGTGCTTTGGTGGGGGCCTTCCTGGATCTGTGGCCTCCCAGGAACCAGCAGGCCTAGGGCAGAAAATTACCAGATCAGATTATCACTGACATCACCTACTTGAAGTGCTGGCAGAGTACTGGGTGTAAACTAGATATAAATGCAAAGTACTCAGTTTATTAATAATTCAAACTTCATCTTTTGGAAGCATCTTCACAGGTAGCTTTCTCATTTTCATGCTGAATGCTTCTACACCTTTGATTCTGGCAGGATTCAAAGTAGAACATGAAACCCTTTGTTGTGTTTCCAGTGTCCATAGCAGCTACAACGATTTATGCATATGCTTGGCTTGTTCCCCTCGCTCTCTGGGGATTCCTGATGTGGAGGAACAGTAAAGTCATGAACATTGTCTCCTACTCCTTCCTGGAGATAGTGTGTGTGTATGGCTACTCCCTCTTCGTTTACATTCCCACAGCGGTACGTATGGCTGAGTGCCCCTCTCACTGTCCTGCTTGAGAAAGTTTGCTGTTTCTTATAATACTGGTGATATTTGTTGAAATTTTGGAGACTGGGAAAATCTTTTGCTCTTTTTCTTGAGGCTTGTCTAGTGTAAAGGTGTCTTGTGGGTGCTGAAAAAGCCCAGGACACATCATTTCCCCAGAGGCAGCAAAACCAAGCAAGGTGCTGCTGGTGAGCCTGGCAGGCAACCTTGGGAATCAGGATGTTTGTGTCCCCAGGGAACAGATGCTGATGGCTCCAAGGACAAGTTTCCCTGGCTGGGGACAGTATGATGGTGTTCACAGGGGCTCTTGGATGAGGGAAGAGATGAGGATCTGACTCCATGTTTCAGAAGGCTTGATTTATTATTTTTTGATATATATTACATTAAAACTATACTAAAAGAGTAGAAGAAAGGATTTCATCAGAAGGCTAGCTAGGAATAGAATAGCAAAGAATGACAACAAAGGTTTGTGGCTTGGGCTCTGTGTCCGAGCCAGCTGACTGTGATTTGCCATTGATTACAAACATCCAAGATGGGCCAATCACAGATGCACCTGTTGCATTCCACAGCAGCAGATAATCAATGTTTACATTTTGTCCCTGAGGCCTCTCAGCTTCTCAGGAGGAAAAATCCTAAGGAAAGGATTTTCCATAAAAGATGTCTGCAACAGGACAGGCCTTGGATAGAGTGGCATAACTTGGGGTTCACCTGTGTTGTGTCTGGGAGTGAAGCTCATCACTGCTCTTACCCTTTCCTCCAGTAAGAGATGTGTCAGATTTAGGCGCGAGTTCATTTGTGCACAAACAGAAGTGACAGTGGTGTCACAGAACACACAACCTCTCTGCCAGCCTCTTGCAAGCCTTCTGCTGCCTTTTGCAGATCTTGTGGATCATCCCCCAGAAGGTGGTGCGCTGGGTGCTGATGGTGTTCTCGCTGTGCCTCTCGGGCTCCGTGCTGGTGATGACCTTCTGGCCC